AATTCGATAATTTTTCGTTGAAAAACAATTTGTGACCAACTAATTTAATAATTTGTGATAAATAAAAGTCGCGACTTGTAAAATTTGTGATCGAAAAATTAATTGTAATCTATAAATTTTTTGATTTGTGACCAATTAATTTAATAATACGTGATTAATAAATAACTTGTGACATATAAAAACGTCACTATAACAATTAATTATATAATTGCGATCTTAATATATTTAATTATTTATTTATCACCCGAGTTTTGAATTTCGAAAGATAAAACCTGAAAATTGAATTGGTCATAGTTAATGCCCGAGTTGTGAATCTTTCCGTTAATATAATTATAATGGAAGTTCCTAATTTTAGGGACTAAAACATGTCTTTTTCCATAAGATAAGAGTAGTAAATTTTGGTTGTTTTGAAACATCGTCTCTTTCTCGTCCTTTGTTTGTTATTCACTTCTTCAACTCTTGACTTTGATAAGAAAATCCACAAGTTCATTCAAATTTCAAACCATGAAGCTTATTGAAAGAATAGTAATCCATCCTATCATTTTTAAGTTAATTCTTTTGATGTTGGATGATCGTCAAAAGATATTGTAAAAAAAAAAAAAATTCTTCTATAGTCAAATTGGTTAAGGGTATGTATAGACCCTCAAAAAGTTGTTATATTACTATATTAGTAAGTTTTTAAGGCATTATGTTACTCATATTTGTTATCTATGTGATGACTATGTTCTTTTGTTCTTGTATATCATATCTCGTTGACTTACGACATACGATTACTCGATTAGTTCGAGTGTTATCCACATATTGTGTCAACTCTAATGAATTGCATTAAAATCTTAGCAAGTGCCACAAAATGGAAAAAGAAAAAAAATAATTTTTGTGTTCATGCCTCGAGAATTTTGCAATAATCTCTTTCCTTAAATTTGATGCATACGTACACTCGACATTGCTGGATAAATTCATCCTATGACAGAACACAAGGCTCCTGAAGGCTCAAAAATAAGGACAATTCCACTTGTACATCAAAGTTTGTACATCAAGGGATACATTTCTCTCACATGGGAGGTGGGACCCATTGAAATAATGTTTTTTTCTTCGAGTGGACCCCACCCCCCATGTGAGAGAGGTGTAAACCCTGATATAAATCTTGATGTACCACTAGCATCGTTCACT